ATAAGCAAAATCGTAAAGGGAAAAATATGGTGTTATATTACATGAAATCTAAAGGCATGTACCGTTCAATAGCTGACGAAGAAAAACTCACCACTGCAAAATTTCAACGCAGTAACTGGCCCGTGAGGGGTAACAATGACTTACAGGATAAATTAGGTTTGGGCGCTTTTCGGGCCATTTCCCCTCATCGGTGACTTTTTAAAATTAAAAAAAGAAAATGTGTTCCACATCGGACATCACGCAGCATATTATAGAATTTGTTTAGATTTTTTGGTTGGAATTTGAGATATTTATAATTTTTTTGGATTCTTTGGGATATGAGATATGGGATGTGAAATATGGGTTATGGGATATGGAATATCGGAAAAGGGATATGGGATACGGGATATAGGATATGATATATTGGATACGGGATATGGGATACGAGATGTGAAATATGGGATATGGAATATGGGATTTGAGATATGGAATATGATATATAGGATACGAGATGTGAGATATGATATATCGGATGGAATGTGAAATATGGGATATGGGATTTGGGATATGAGATACGGGATATGGGATATGGGATATGGGATATGGGAAATGGGATACGGGATATCGGGATATGGGATACGGGATATCGGAATATGGGATATGGGATATCGGATATGAGATGTAAAATATAGGATATGAGACATGGAATGTGGGATATGGGGTATGGGATATGGGATATGGGATATGGGATACGGAATATGGAATTTGAGATATGGGATATGAGATATGAGATATAGGATATGGGATTTGAGATATGGGATATGGGATATGATATATGAGATATGGAATATGGGATATGGGATTTGAGATATGGGATAGGAGATATGCGATATGTGATATGAGATATGAACGTGAGATAAAATAGTGGAACTTGAAGGTGAAATGACTCCAAAATTGCTGGGGAATCCAAGGAGTCCGTTATGGATAATATATATGATTATAAAGACTCTTTCTCAACAAACGATTGAATAAATTAAATGGCAAACGGTCTAAATAATAAAGCAATACGCGTTATTCGCTGTCAGAGCTCGATAGAGTTAACGTTAATCTTACACTTCGCAAACCTTCGGTTTTCGATCCTTTCAAACACCACACCACGCATGCCAGTCGATAACATAGGAATCGATTACTTTCACCAACAGAACCATTCTCGATGGTTAAGGGACAAATTTGTGAGATACACGGATTTCTGTGTCATGCAATGGGTGCATTGTAACTGTATGTCGGCTGCGGACAAGAAGTGCCCCATTGCAATGACAAGTTTAACTATAAAAAGGAGAAGACCGCCGAGCCGCGCCGCGCGGCGCACCGGTGGAACGATAAAATTGTTCTCGCTCCATTTCAAGATTTCCCTCGAAAGTTAAACCCATCGTGTGCCCCCTCGAGCGTGGTGCGCGCAAAGTCAAAGAGAAAAAGTTACACGGAGCCTTTCTCTTCGCTCAACGTTCACAATTATCCGGCGACCGCTGGAAAACCGGCGTGCTGGAAGACCCGCTGCATCTTCAGCCTTTTCTCAAAAAGCGAGGAAACGTTTACGATCGATCACACAGAAATGTCGAATGTCCAACTGTCCAGCATTTTCTTTCTGTGCGCTCCGATAATTAGGGATGGGATCAAATACAGTGACCTCTATAAATATTCGTGCCCCTATTAAAACGATAGAACCGTTTTAAAGCTGGACCAACGAAAATTTAAAAAATACGTTTTGTGGATCTCGGTAACATGTATCCATTGGTCGAAAGTGTCAAAAATAGTGACAGAACTGCAAATTTCGCGATCTTTAATTGTTTACAGCTCGTATGGAGGTCAGCTGATTTTTTGAATTTTCGTAATTAGCAATGAATACTGCTTGAATATTTGTTTAATGGTGCCAACTATTTCAGTCGTATACCAACGAGTTGTTTCCAGTAACATTAACTAATAATTTCGTTTGAGATTATCACGTAGAAAAAGTTCATTTAGATTTCTCTTAGTATAGCACGTTAATTGAAAATTCGATTAATACTGAATATAAGTGTACTCGTTACTAAACATCAAAATGTTAAGTTTGAAGAAAAGACCAATTTATACCTTCCATTTTCAAGCAAATGAAATTATCTTCAAACAAGTGACTCTACCGAGTGCAATGCTACTGTAATAACGTTAAAACGTATAAATAAGCTAAAACTGCGTTTGAGGCAAGTTGCTGGCTGGCAGTCATTTTCTCGGACAATTTTTAATTAACTTTGCAAAGTAATGGTCTATGGCAAAATATAACTATGTCGTGTTATAAAGTCAATCTGTTATTCTCGTCAAAGACTAACAATAATATTCAACGATATATTTACAATTTATTAACAATTGAGAATCGATGAATATCTGTTCGATAGAACTGAACTGTGGATTGTATGCACATGTTGGAAAAATGATTAGTTATATAAAATTCTGAAGACATACACTACTTTCAGCTCAAAAACATTTGAAAACATTTTTGTTTTATTACATTTGTAGAATATTACAATCAATTTTCAATTAGAATATTCAGTAATTGTAAATAAACTGTGGTGGGGAACAAAAGTATTCGGATACTTTTAAAACGGTATAACTTTTTTCAAACCAAACTAAATGACTTGAATCTTTTGGAGATGATAGAAGGACCAGTCTACTAGGCAACGTCTGAAATACTTTTTTTAATTTTGTTATTGCTTGGAAAGACAAAGAAAATGAAAAATTCACGTTTTTGTCACATTTTTATCTGAGCTCAGAATGAAATTTGTACAATGCGATTTGCAGGTCTCTGTATAACTTACGTGCATGCTGAAAATTTCACTGAGACCAATCGAAAAAGATGAACAATCTTATTTTTTCTTCTCTTTTTGTCACTCCACCTAATGGCAAAATTTGAAAAGGTATTATAGTCATTGTCTAATGGACCAGTCCTTCAGTCATCTAAAAAAAACTTCTAGTCATTCGATCCAGTTTTAAAAAGTTTACACCGTTTTAAAAGTGTCCGAATACTTTTGTCCCCCATTGCATGTAAATAATAGTATGTATAGTACGTAATTCATCAAGATTTGCAATCTAGTGACAAATTTCGATCGAACTGATCCGCGAGAAGTCGTCGACCTCCACGGAAATGTAAACGCAATAGTGTTACGGGTTACGGCGGCGAAGATGATCAAATCACGTAATCCTATACCGAGTAATCCGTTTATCTGTAAACTCACAATTCGAAGAGGGAAGCCGAAAGCGAAACGTACGTTCCCCTATTCAGTCCTTATCCGATCTCCTTGCTAGTATTTTACACGATTTTCCTACCGTAATGAAGTTTCAACTTGAACGTAAACGTTTTGGTAAGTGTTTAATGTATCTAAGTGTTGACCTCCCTGTTTGCATTCTCGTGCACTTTCCCGGAATTTGTATAAATAATACTGTTGATAGTGTGTCAATTCAGCGTCACCTTAATAGCGTTAAAGATATTGTGTCGTTCACTATCGTATAGTTATACGATTGACCCATCCTATAGTTAATATCCGAGCAAAATGGCCGGTTTCACATTTTTGTTTTAAACTTGTTGAAATTATCATGAAACGAAATGGGCGATAGATTACTGTAGAATGAATGGACTTTACTGTACAGTGAAATTTCCCTAATTGACGCACAGCTTGGAAAAAAGATTGGACAATTTGGGTAGAGGAGATACGATTATTCGAGCCTTGAGGCTGGTTTTTATAGTTACCGATTGTCAACAACTAGAAAAACGAGCCGCGAGGCTCGATTAAACGGACAATTTCAGAAGAGGAGATACGATTATTCGAGCTTTGCGTCTCGTTTTTATAGTTGTCGACAATCAATAACTATAAAGACGAATAATCGTATCTTCACTTCCCGAATTGTCCATTTTTGTTTAGAAGCTGACGGATAATTGGAAGGAATTTACTGTACAGTGATGTATTGTGGACAAAATCTATCGATCTGAGTATTCTAGTGGCTTTAAAGTCGATTATATTTCAAATACTTAGGAACAGTTTTTTCATCAATTCGATGTTTCTTGAAATTATATTTGTGACCAATCCAATTTACTTCAAACCTTATGACAATCTTCAATAAATCCCCTACTCTTGTCAGACGTGGAACAAAATCGATATGTCAAACTTCAATTTCTGCGAGCCAAAAAATCATCAATCTTCATGCTCGAAATTATGCTTTCTAGTCGCTGCGATCTTCAGGCATAGGTTCAGCAATACAGTAAATTCTCCCTAATTGACGCTGAGCTTAGAAACAAAAATGGACAATTTGGGTAGAGGAGATACGATTATTCGAGCTTTGCGTCTCGTTTTTATAGTTGTCGACAATCAATAACTATAAAGACGAATAATCGTATCTTCACTTCCCGAATTGTCCATTTTTGTTTAGAAGCTGACGGATAATTGGAAGGAATTTACTGTACAGTGATGTATTGTGGACAAAATCTATCGATCTGAGTATTCTAGTGGCTTTAAAGTCGATTATATTTCAAATACTTAGGAACAGTTTTTTCATCAATTCGATGTTTCTTGAAATTATATTTGTGACCAATCCAATTTACTTCAAACCTTATGACAATCTTCAATAAATCCCCTACTCTTGTCAGACGTGGAACAAAATCGATATGTCAAACTTCAATTTCTGCGAGCCAAAAAATCATCAATCTTCATGCTCGAAATTATGCTTTCTAGTCGCTGCGATCTTCAGGCATAGGTTCAGCAATACAGTAAATTCTCCCTAATTGACGCTGAGCTTAGAAACAAAAATGGACAATTTGGGTAGAGGAGATACGATTATTCGAGCCTTGAGGCTGGTTATTATAGTTACCGATTGTCAACTTCCGAAATTGTCCATTTCTGTTTCCAAGCTGAGCAACAATTAGAGCGAATTTACTGTAAACGTTGCCCGACTCGAGGATCACGGTGTATCGAGGTCGAAGAACGATCACGACTTACCTCGTATGCTCTGAAGAGCAGATAAAGCTCCCTCGGCTTGGCGTCCATCGGCAAGCCGCTCACGAACAAGGTGCGCACCTGCAAAAAGAACCAGAAAGAAAGCGATAATTGAGTTAATTAAGCTAATTGTTGGGGGCCAGGGGCTGAGCGATAGAGGAGAGGGAGGGAAAGAGAAACAGACGATACGGAGCGGAGTTCCGTACGGAACAGAACGGAACGGAAAAGGATTCGTGTCGGGCCGAAGGATGGCTGGAGATAACCGGGAATTAGCCTGCTCTGTTTGACTGGTGCTCTCGCGGGGACGAAGCGATAGCTAATTGTCAAATTAATAGGAAACGGTAATGCGACGAGGAACTCGCTCCCTTTGTCCCGTTTCTAATTTAACGACAGAGTTCGTCTATACCTTCGTTTATTTAATGTAATTCGTCTACGTCGAACCCTTTACGGGGTACAGACCCCGACAAAATTATAGGTTCACGAATACCAGTCCACAATCATATTGTCTCTGTGATTGAATATGCGTTGCTCTTTGAACCAAATCAGTGCCAAATTTTGTGTATTTTGGCCAACAGAGAAACTTCGGCTATTGTTATTCGGCCTCGTAAATTATAAAGATCGATTCGGTGCAATTTGAAAACAAATATATCATAATTACATTATTAAAGAGTACATCATAATTACGTTATTTAAAAAGTGTATCTAAATTGCATTACTTAAAAAAAGTATTATATTTACACCATTAATAGTTGAGTAATTTTTATGTTAAGTAATATGACATTATAGTCATTGTATAATCTTACATATTATAATATTATAATGATTTTATAATATGATTATAATATAATTTTATATTAAGTAATTTTCTTTTTGGTTCTACAACGTGAAAACCTGCATATTTTGACAAAAGTAAGCAGAAAAAGTGGTTATGATAGAATTAAATGATTTTTTCGTACTTTCCAAGATTATATGTTACTAAATTCATAAGCATTATTTGCTTAAACCAAAAATGCACCGCTAGCATTACTGCGAAACATTTAATATTTCGGTCACCCTGAGAAATATATCAAAAAAATAATTCCAAAGGAATTATGTATTATTTCCCTTTTTTTGTTTAAGTAGTCTTAAACAAAAGTTCTCATTGCAATTGTTATATGGTATCGTAAACATCTTTACATCAAATGCAAAGTGCAGTTGTATAATTGAACGGAGCCCAAGATATTAATTGCAATCAATAATCGATGCATAATTTCTACTTTAATGGCAGTTAAAATTTGCAAACGTTCTTATATACAGTTGATCAAATAATTATATTTTTGTTTGATCATTTCCCACATTGTTACTACAGCGCGGATTTTATGCACTTGTGTCAAAATTAGATGGATGCTACTCAAAGCAGTCGACAGATTAGGAGAATATAAGAACGCCAATATAGGATCATCTATAACTATAACCTAGAAAGGCGTGATTCCTGAGGTCATTTGAAGTAAAATTTTTTCCTTAGCAAAAATGCAATCCGCAGCTTCGTTTACGAGTTATTAACGAAGAACACTGACCAATTAGAGGTGAGCTTGGTTGGCGCGAAGCGGCCGAGCTGGTGAGCGGTCGAAGCCTAGTTCCGCTCATTGGCTCAGCCGCCTCGCGCCAGCTGACCTTGCCTCTCATTGGTCAGTGTTTTTCATTAATAACTCGTAAACAAAGCTGTGGATTGCATTTTCGCTAAGGAAGAAGTTACTCTAAATGACCTCAGGAAACCCTCATTTCCCGCTTGTACAATAATTTTGGGACACCCTATATATTGTTTCCAGCCCTTTAAAATTATTAATGAAGAGAAGACACTTTCTGAACGGCTCCAGTCTCATGCAATTGACGCGAACAGCTTTTAGTTTGCATTAAGAAAACAGCAGTTTTATTGTTGCATACGTATAGCATTATTCGTCGGGCTATTATACCAAGAATATACGTCGTGCCAAACGTTGAAGTTACAAGCTACTGTCTCGAGTGCGCTCCCATAATTCAAAGTTGAATGCTACGTTCCCAACGACCTGGGATCAATATCTCTTCTCTTTGAAATCGTCGAATCCGACGGGCCAAGCAAACGGCCCCGTTTGTTTGTGTGCCTCTGTCATAGAAACGTCAAACCGAGTATCCTGTGTCAAATATTGCAAGTCCCGAGAATCGTCTTATTTCGCTTTCGATTCATTCTTGACCCAGTTGCTCGGGCTCGGAGACTAGAACACATTGTGGGGTACCGCGGAAGTAAGCAAAACTGAGACGGTAAATTACATACTGATTTGGCGGGCTGCCAACTGAGACAGACCGGTCTGTCCAAGGCAAGACTTTCCTCCGCGAAAAAGGAATCGCCGGCAGATTAGTGCCCGTCTCGGGTTCTACAACCTATAGAAGCGGATTGTTTCCAACTGGAATACAATTTATACCGTGCAGTACAAAACGATGGAATGTCCTACTCATTATCACATTTCGTACAATTATTCTTCGTACGTGGCCGGATGCATTCTCATTCAGCGTTTCAAAGACGTTCAGCTCTTGAAACTGATTTTTATGCGCGGATCCTGTTTCGACGCATACAAAATTCTATTACCAAAAAATATAAATATGAATGAAAACACAAAAAATATATAAAAATATAAAATGTATAAAACTATATAAAAAATATAAAAAAATATAAATAAAATATATAAATAAAATATAAATAAAATATAAATATAAAAACTATTTAATTTTCTTTTGTACCGAACGAAGCAAATCAAATTTTTCTTAACACTTTATTTGCCAGCTTTTTATCGCTGTCATTTTAACTACAAAAATCAATAAACGGGAGTTTCTTAAAAAATGTAAAAACAAGTCTCCGGTAACATAATCCAGTGATTTTCTTCCCGATTATCATATTAAAAGAGGATTTTATTCACTAATCATGACAAGTTCCACGAATACACAGTTATAAAGATTTTCTTTTGCGTAACTGCTTCATTAACCCCTTCACGTATCATTTTCTTCGCAGTTACTGCGATTCGAAATTTTTCGATTGCAATAATTTCTTAGAAAGGAGAGAATTTATCGTGTGCCTAAATTTACTGAAATGCTGAAATATTGATGACAAGAGATTAGAATTTTATTCAAACTTTAAAGGACAAAATAACATCTATACTTAACAAGTTATTACTAAAAATTTTCATCGCGAGTCGGACTCATCAAAGTATGGCAAGAGGTTAAGGTTCCCAATTGATAATATAATCACTTGAATTCGTAATAAAAATTACTTACAACGATCGAAAGTATTACGATCAATTTACAAAAAAAAAATAAGATTTGTTAAAAAACGATGACGTCAGGAGAACTCTAAAAAGTTATATCCAAGAGGTTACATTCGAGAGGAAGAAATTAGGGAACAAGAAGTATTTTATGTTTCGCACAGTGTGGAGTCATGAGTGAATCGTGCATTCATTTCATGCGCCTTATACTGCATAAGTTTAGCAAAGGAAGTGCGGCAACGCTTGCTACGAACAATGTTTGCCTCGTTTACGTGGAAGGAGTATCATCGTTCCTTACATGCAGAAAGTGGATACAGTTCGCGAAGGAATGAAGTCGTTTTGATCGTGTTGCAACGAAACGTGCAGAAAAGTTACGTAAATTCAATTGAGAAATTTCCCCGTTTCCACCACGTTCTTTCCACCCCATCGTACCACCGGTTTTGGTTATTGCATTTCTTAGCGGGAGGAAAATTTCGCAACGTAGTAATTTTATTGAAAACGTAATAAGAAACATGGAAAAGTATCATCATGGAAAATGTATAATCACTGCAGAATGCCTTTGACTAAAAATGCGAAAAGATGTAACCAGACGACGATTGTATGTTTTCGTAACGTACGAACTTATATGGGACGACCTAACGATTGCGATTTTCAATCATTAATTTTAGAGCATTTTTACGTGTCTAACTAAAGACCATTAGGAGACTACCTTAATTTCTTAATTTATTTACAAATGACGATTATTGCGCGGCGGTGAACTTTAGTTTAGTGTAACTGATAACGTAACAGTAACTACTTGCATGCTTCTCAGTTCAATTTTGAGAAATCCGAGCAAGTTATACAAATGTGGTATTGATGTAATTCTGTGCTGTAATTAGAATAATTCTAACAAAGTATTTACAGTAATTTCTCCCGGAAATGCCACATTTCGGGTTGCAGTGAATTTCTCTGTGCTAGTCCTACACGGTCGAGGGTGTGTGCGGCACGCGCCGCGAATTCCCGGAAGACAACATAAAATGGCTGTTTGGGTGTGAGTCAAGTAAGAAAAACCGCGGACAAAAGATACTCCGAATTTGCTGCTTGACTATGAATCTTGACACTTTATTTCAATTGTACGCTCTCTCTCTCTCTCTCTCTCTCTCTCTCTCACTCACTCACTCACTCGCACACACACACGCGCGCGCGCACACACACATACACACACACACATGCGCTCATACATTGCGTCCTTCGCTCAAGCATATCCATATACACACTGTGGCGGCTCTAAAATGACGGAGGCTTTTAGAAGAAAAGAAAGGAGAAAGCATTTCATCCGGGTCCCGCTAGAGAACTCATCAGTAAGGCTAAGGAGGTAGCCGCCACACACACCGTATGCTTAGTAACACGTTTCCTAACGTCTCTACAGTACTAGGTACGTGATCGTACGTGATCGTCGAATCGTATCATGTGACTTCCGAATTGCTTTCGAATCGTGGCATGTGGTCTCCAAATTGTCTTCAAATCGTGGCATGTGGTCTCCGAATTGCCTTCAAATCGCGGCAAGTGACCTCCAAATTACCTTCAAATCGTGACATGTGCTCTCCGAATTGCCTTCAAATCGTAGCATGTGCCCTCCGAATTGCCTTGGAATCGTGGCATGTGGTCTCCGAATTGTCTTCAAATCGTGGCATGTGGTCTCCGAATTGTCTTCAAATCGTGGAATGTGGCCTCCGAATTGCCTTGGAATCGTGGCATGTGGTCTCCGAATTGTCTTCAAATCGCGGCAAGTGACCTCCGAATTACCTTCAAATCGTGACATGTGC